TTAGGTCCTAATCTTAATCCAGAGCTTACAGAAATTAACTTGAAGGAGTTGACAAGATCCTTAAAGCCAATTCCCCCAGCAATTTGAGGTTTAGCTACTTTTCTCCAGGAAGCCCAATGCATTTATTGTCTTTGACCAGATTACAGGAATTTATTAAAAATTCTCTCCAACTGTATTTGAGTGCTTTCTTTATGGTAGTCATCTGCAGTATATAAGAAGGGAAAGTAGTGATAGGGAAGGATAAGAAGGGAAAGTAGTGATTATGCTCTTTAACAAAGTAATTCTTCCCCCATTAGACAAGAAGGTCAGTGTCCACCCATTGAAAAGGCTAGAAATTTTATTCAGTACCTCATCAAATTGAGTTTGTTTGGTTCTGCCAGTGATAAGAAGCACCCCAAGGTACTTAATTGGGAGTTGAGTAGTTGTGAAGCCAGTATGATCAGATGTCCAATGTTTGATGCATCAGATGTCCAATGTTTATGAGTGGAGGATACATGTTAATAGAATACCATCTGACACTTTGCTGGATTGAAGGACATCCCTGAAAGAGCTTAGAATTTTCATAATATTTGGAAGACTTTTCTAATAGCATTTTTCCTGGCTCTGGAGAATAACATTATGTCATCAGCATACATTAAATGAGTAATGTCAATGTTGGACCTATGATGGTATCTATTTTGACTATTATTCATCAAGGCTTCATCAAGAATTCTGGATAAATAATCAATGTAAATTATAAAGATGGTGGGTGATAGTGGATCCCCTTGCTTTAATCCTCTAGTAGCAGTGAAAGAACCTCTCCCTTGCCCATTTATCAGGATGGAATGTTCATTGTTATGCAGCCACCAACTAATCAGGTGACAGAATCCACTGTTAAAGCCTCTGGCACTAAGAACCTCCAAAATGAAGTCCCAGCTTATGGTATCATAAGCTTTCCTTACGTCCATATTATATATCATATTACCCCCTCTACAATCTTTATTCAAATCCTATAGAAGTTCTTGAGCGAGGAGAGTGTTATCAATGATGGACCTTCCTTTCACAAAGGCAGTTTGATTGGGTTTAATTATAGAATCAAAGTGAGGTTGTAGCCTGTTCACAATGATTTTGTTGATGGTTTTGCTAATGTTGATGGTTTTGCTAATGAGATGGTTTTGCTAATGATAGTGGTCAAACAGATAGGTCTAAAATGATTCCAATTTTGTTGTATCTTAGATTTAGGGATCAATACAGTAGTGGAGGAGCAAAAGTACTTTGGAAGATTGTTGCCTTGGATGAAGCTTATAACAACAGCAATAACATCAGCCTTAATAATTTCCCAGGACTTCTTGTAGAATTCAGCAGTAAAGCCATCAGGGCCAGCAGATTTATTGCTATCTATGGAGCTGATTGCATTCCATATTTCCTTTTCATTGGGGATATTAGTAAGCTTGAGACAAGCAGTGTAGTTCAGTTCTGCCATGAAGTATGCCTTCTCAATGGAGAGTCTAAAGTTATGTTCCTGATTGAGTAAATCTTTATAATAACATATAACATCATTTGCTATATCATTGTTGTTATGTAACCACAGGCCATTGGCATTTTGGATAGTATGGATGGTGTTGCACTTTCTTTTATATTTAATATAGGCATGAAAGAATCTAGTGTTTCTATCCCCATCAGTGAAAATATTCATAGCTGCCTTTTATTTGAGGAATTTTTCCTGGTAATCAATGGCACTAAGAAGGTTGTTCTGAGCAATCATTAGTTTCTTCTCCTCCTCAATACCAATCTGTCCCCCTTTCTCCAAAGCTTTGACTTCATCTTTAGCCTCCTGGACTTTGGCATGAACATTTCCAAAAGTGTTCCAGCTCCAACCTCTGAGGGCTTTAGCAATCTTGATTTGCAGTAAGCTTAGCTTGACTAAAGGGTCAGGATGAGAATCCCCTTTCCATAAGTCAGCAATATACTTACTATAGGAGGGGTGTGCAGCCCACATATTGAGATATCTAAAAGGGGGGGAGGAGTTATATTATCAGTTGAAGTAAGGCTTATAAGCATAGGTCTATGATCTGAGCCAACAAGACTAAGATGAGTAACAAAAGTGAAGAGGAAGTGATTAAACCATGCATCATTAATCAATATTCTATCAAGCCTCTCCTAAATAGCTCCCCTTTTCCAAGTGAAATTAGGCCCCTTGAAACCCAGATCAAAGAGACCAGCCCTGTGGATATTATCCCTAAAGGTATTAATCTTGGCAAGATTTGTGGTTGTTCCTCCAGATTTTTCAGTGGTAGAAGTGATACAATTGAAATCACCCCCCACCAACCATGAGGAGTACACCCGTTGGCTGATGTGAATCAACCTATTCCACAGCTCTTTTCTAGCATCCTTTGTACATCCAACATAGATGAAGGTAGCTTCACCCTTATGTCCATTCATATTGAATGAGAGGTGGACAAATTGTGGATGATCAATTAGAATATCAAAATTTGTTTCTCTTCTGCATAAAATCCAAGTTTTATTATTAGTATTCCCAAAATGGGTGAAGCCAGCAAAATTTTTAATCAGATTTTGAGGGTTCTTGTGAACCATGGGTTCAAGAATAACAATACACCATAGTTTGTATTTAAAGTTCAGGTATAAAACTCTTTTAAGTGACAGAGGGTTAGTCATCCCCCTTATATTCCAGCAAAGTAGATTAATCATGGAGTGGAGGATGTGGGGAAGGCTGGGATCTAGATCTGGTTCTTCCTCTAAGAAGTGGAGACCCATCCCTAGCTCTTTTAGCCTTCATAGATTGTACTCCTGCTTGTAATTTTTTTACCTCTGTCCTTGGTTTTCTCCTTTTTCTTACTGTTTTGATTTTCCAATCCTCCTCAATGGTTTGTTTCAGTTCAATAATACTTGATTCCTTTGGAGCTTTGTCAGGTATCTCTGTGATGATTTGCTTCCCCTTCTCAGCATGTAAAGGGGGTGTGGGTGTGACAATTGTGATTTCAGTATCTTCCTGCCTGATTGATCTGTGTAGCGGGATATCAGCTTGACTGTTGGGTTCAAATAGCTCTCCAAGAGGATCAGCATCTGGTGGAACCTCATTAATACTTGGGGGTGGTTCTTCTAGCCTTGGATTTGTTTCTTGTCCATTTTCTAACATAATTTCTTCAGCAATTCCCCTTGTCGCATTAGCCACAAATTTTCCAGTAGTTATTTAGTTTCTTTCTGCCATCTTCCTATTTGGGGGATGTAATTTGTAACATTTATCTACAGTATGCCCAAACATCTTGCAATGTGGACAGTATTAAGGCTTCTGTTCAGCTATTATGTCCTGTCAGAACCCTTCAGCATCAGAGCCAATCCAGATTCTCTTCAGTTCAGGGAGTGTGATATCTCTTTCAACTTGAAGTCTAGCAATGTCAGGTCTAGCCTTATTATAGGTGGGAGCATCCACTCTCAGAGGTGTTCCCAGTGGTCTACCAATGTTAAATAGAGCATTAAGCTTAAAATAGGGTAGTGGTAAGCCAGGTAATTTAAACCAGATGGGGACTACAGGAGGTTCTTTATTAGGATCAAACCCTGGAGTCCATTTGATGACCTTCATAACTGTTCCAGCAATGTTAACAGATTGTTTAGAAAACAATCTTGCATAATCTTCCTCAGCTGCTAATTGGATTAGAAGGTGCCTCCCATCCAAAAGCCAAATTTTCCAATTGCCTACAAACTTCAGAGATTCAAAGAAATTCTAACTAGATCCATTTTAGGATGTCCTAGCTGAAATTTGCCTACCAGAGTGAACTTAACCTCTTCCCTTAAAGCATCAATTTCCTTGGTAGTGAAGTAAACAGCTGTTTCACCTTCTTTAGATCCAAGAGGGTGAATACAAGGACTACTTCCCTTTCCAGTAGCAGTATCATGGAATTCCTGTGGGAATACTAGAAGGTCATAATCCTGTAAAGAGTCAGTTGATTTTCCAACCACTCCAGCTTTAGTTGCTTTTGTCCATTGGGAGTCAGTAGAAATATCAATGGAAGAGGCCATCACCCTTCCAAAACAAGTAGGTTATGGTTTAAGTAAAACCTTTCAAAAAAGAAACAGATAAGCCAAAGGGAGTTTTCTTCCCAAAGGAGCCAGCCACTTCTGATACCCAAGGAGACAGCAGCAAAAGAGACCAGTGGAGTTTTCTCCCCAAAGGGAGTTCAGCAAAGAATGGATCCCCAAAAGCCAGGGAAAAAGGAAGTTCCCCCAGAAAAAGTGGAACAAAAGAAGAGGGAAACCAATGGAACAGTGCCATTAAAGTTAGCTGAGAATGGAGCAACAGCCCCCAATGAAGCAGTGCCAAAGAAGGAATTGAAGGAATAGTAAAGGACTCTACCACCACCAACTTGAAGCAGCAACCAAGCTCCATCATCCTGCTAGAAACCCTAGCAGAGCTTCCTCTCCAGCCACCAGCATCTTCCTATAATGTGATGAAGTTTTCTATATATATATATATATATA